CTTTGAGGGATTTCTGTTTCTCCTTCATTTGAAAAAGTTTTGGTGAATTGCTCCCTGTGATGATCGGTTGTCCCTCTGACAAGTGTGGATACGCGTTAGGTACTTGTAGGGCCACAGTGACAAAGTATGACCATGGTCATAATTTAAATGGGAAAATTAGAATGGCCCGGGAATGGGCCAGTGATTTATAGCGGTAGCTGGGGATCTCTTCTGCCTTCAGTGGATATATGTTGTAACGATTTCACATAGAGGTCGATAAAAGACTCAATAAAACTTAGATACGATTAAAAAGACTAATAATAATTTGTGTGATGGTTCTTCTGTTTACTAAGTACGCTGGTTGTATTAATGGTACCTTTATAATGATTTATATGATTGGTTCTTCTGTTTACCGAGTATGCCATTTGTTTGATTGTATGTTTGATACGTTCGGGTGTGCTAACGTAACGTAACATGCTTGCTTAAATATTGAGTAATGGTGTTCTTAGCTTGGTTATATAATTATTTCACCGAATTTCTTAATAAAGACAATGGGTTTTCTGAATGATTAAATGACTTCATCTCACAACGGTTCTCCAAGGTAAAAGGTATATAAAGTATTGTTCAAGTTATTTACTTTTTAAACATTAGCCGTATAGTTTTAAATACTACTTCCCTTATTGAATTTACATGGAACTCACCCCTAATCCATGTCCCAAAATATTGAGAGTTGAGGATCTACTCCTTGAGTTATCCATTGGAGTTTGACTAGACCCATTCACGGATTCTTGAAATTTCTCTAGGACATAATTTGAGTGTAATAATTATTACGCATTTTGATGTAAAATTCTGGACGATCTCTCATTATTTCCACACCAAGGACAAACCTGGCTTCACCTATGTCCTTCATTTCAAAAATAAAGGATAACCACTGCTTAGTGACTTTGATCATCTCCATGTTGTTTCTAACTAATAGTATGTCATCAACATATAAGGAGAGAAATATAATCCCTTTCATTGTTTTCTTGACATACACATAATGGTCTTCATCTATCATGGACAAGCCAAATGAAGTAATGGCTTCATGGAATTTGAAATACCATTGTCTAAAAGATTGTTTGAGACCATATATGGATCTTTTAAGACGACAAACTTTATTTTCTTGACCTTTTGAGACAAACCCAATAGCCAACATCCATATATATTTCTTCCTCAAATGTACCATTGATGAAAGCATTTTTAACATCCATTTGAAATAACTCCAAGTCCAAATGGACAACTAGGGCTAGAAGGAGGCGAATAGAGACAAATCTCATCACATGAGAAAAAGTCTCTTCATAGTTTATACCCTCAATTCGAGTAAAACCTTTTGCCACTAGTCAGGCCTTAAACTTTTTAATTAATCCATCCACTCTACATTTTATCTTGAAAACTCACTTGTTTTCAATTGACTTAAGTCGAGGTGAGAGATCAACTAGTTCTCAAACCTTATTTCTCGTCATTAAGTCCATATCATCCCTCATGACATGAATTCACTCTTTACTGATTGGTGAATTCATAGCCTCCTTAAAGGAGGTAGGTTCCTCAATTTCTAAAGGAGTGCATAAGAAAATTTCTCATTCAATTTGAAAATATTGTCAGAGAATTTTTTTCATATTCACTCTTTCGAATTCTAGGACTAGGACCTTCATCACCAATCTGACAAGATGATAAATCTCTCTCACTGTCCCTTGGCATGGGATTTGGAACTTGAAAACTAAGCTCATGTTCAAAGCTCGGATCTTGAGGACTAACCCCACATTTTTGGTGGATTATCATTTGTAGGCAAGTTTTCACCATTTAAAATAGTAGGATCACTCCTAGTATCTCTTTTATTTGGTGGAATAGCACTATCTTTAGTGACTTGGTAAGTTCTCAATACCTCCCTTTCACCAATAGATAGTTACATGTCCTCCTGTAACTCATATAATTCATAATTCTCTTTTATTTCACAAATACTTAGGAATTCATCCTCAAGGAAATCAATACTGCGAGATTTTATTTCACTCATGCTACCATTCGGCTGTTCTCCAAATATTACATATCTTTTTTAATATTCAAGATATATGATTAACACCATCTTAGTTGTTCTTGGACCTAGTTTTTCGGGCTTGTGGGTTGGGTTATGCACATAGCTTGCTGACCCCCAAGGATGTAAATGATCCAAAATAAGTTTCTTACCATTTCATAACTCATATGGAGTGACAGGTACATTTTACTTGGTACACAGTTAAGGATGTAGGTTGCTGTAAGCAACACATCTCCCTAAAAATTATTAGAGAGGTTGGCATGTGTCATCATCGATCTAGCCATGTCTAGTAATGTACGATTCATTCGCTTTGTAACATCATTTTGTTGTGAAGTATAGAGAATTGTAAGCTACCTACGTATACCCTTTTTCTTATAATGTTCTTTGAATATGTCAGAAAGGTATTCACGACCACGATCGGTTCAAAGAATCTTTACTCTT